CGCTTTGGGGGGGGGGGGGGGGGGGAGAGAAGGCTAAATTGTTCAATTTTTTTTAATGGCGATATAAGAAAAATTATATTCAAATTTTAAGTCTAAGAGTGTAATTTCCGGCCATTTAGAGGTGCCATAATCACAAATTTTCCTACCTCTGGTTGGGGCTGAGGTGGTATAGATTCTCCATCTGCTAAAGTACTCAGTGACAGATTCAAAGGGTCCCAGCCGGCCCGCCCCCACCCTTCTAAATTGTTCATAAAAATGGAGATATAAAGATAATAATATTCAAATTTTATGCCTGGAAGTGCAATTTCCAGCCATCTAGAGGTGCCATAATCACAAATTTTCTTCCTACCATGGTTGGGGCTGAGGTAGTATAGATCTTCTATCTATGAAAGTACCCTCCCTGGGCCCTTCTATTTCGAATTCCTGGATCCGCCACTGGAAATTACAACAAATATGAAATCATATTACAGTAGCTTGATGCCTGTAAAATAACTTATAAAATTCACCAAACTTCGTAAAATATCCGTAGCTTCCAGGGGGCTTCGCCCACCAGGGGCCCTGGGCGGCCCCCTGGCCCCAGCCTAGATGCTCGCTTCGCTCGCATACTCGACCTTATGAAATGCCCTCCCCCCACCTTTCAAAAACGTTCCGCCACTGTTGATTAAAAGCTTTTATAAAAACTAAAGTACCTGTATATTTTATTTCACAGTCATAATGAATATGCACTCATACAGTACTTGAATGGTTCAATGATGTGACTTTTTTAGATAGTTTATATTTTATTACATATGTAAAAAATTACAAACCGTTCAATTAAAGACAGTGCTCCAGAGCCCAAAATATTCATAGGCTAAAGTCTTGGGCGGATGCTGACCGTGGTGTAATCACATACCCTTAAATTGTATTAAAAAAATATTATATAGGCCTATATTTTTGTAAGGCCTGTTGTATAGGCCTATAGACAGCCAAACAAAAAAAAAAAAAAGAAAAACAAATCCCGACCGACCCCAATTCCTCAAAATCATCTTATGCTTGGGAAATATATAGATTTTTTCAACCTTTATGGGTGTATATTTAGCGCGAGTATGCCTCCAATCGTTGGTGGCTGTGTTTAGAGCCACATTTTGTAGATTTGGCATAATTTGGCCCAATCTGGCATATTGAGCAAGGCCACGGCATAATTTAAATTTTATCGCTGGCAACGCTGACTTTCAGGAGGCCTAGCATTTCGCTCTACTAGTTACCATCATGGATTAAATGAACGATAAAACTAAATGATTAAGCACAAATATTATAAAACGGAAAAAACACGAATTTTCTTTTTATATTAAAAACAATTTTAAGTCTTAAAAAGCTTTTTCAAAGTTTACATATACAGTAATTAGCAAGATCGTATCTGTTGTCTACTGCTGGTATCAGCGTGACCACTCACAAATTTTGATATTTCAATTTCAATTTCAAATAAACATTTATTTCTTCACACAATATAATAACAAAAGGTAAATATTGAACAGTCGGATTTCATAAAAAAAAAAGAAGACTTGTGTGAAAGAGGGCACTGCTAAAAAAGTATACGCCAAATGATGAAAGGAAAAACCATTCATCAAGTGGCACTTGTAACGAGCGACCCATATAATAACGAAAGCATATATTCCTTTGGAAAAAATACATAAACGAAACAAATACAAAACACGGATACAACAGAAAGCAGAGGGGGGAATTGGAGAAATGATTAGGCAAAAATTTATCAATATTATAATAATGGTATTGGAAAAATAAACCTTGATTTTGATTTGATTTAAGCGTATTTAAATAAAAAAGATATTTCTTGACCTTAAAAGAGAAAATTTTCCTGGAAGGGGCCGATATAATTTCAAGGGGGAGTTCATTAAAAAGTTTGGAACCACTATAGAGCAAGGTGAAGGTTGTCACGAATTCTGGTGTTGTAAGGATGTAAATCTGAGTTTTTTAAAAAGGAGCAAAGGTTAGTTGGGAGAAGAGAATTGGTAGCTTCATAAACAAAGATACATTGTTGTAAAATATTTATATCGAAAACAGACAACTGATTCAAAGCAAGCAAGCAAGATTAATAAGTTTATGCCTAAATAATCGTGAATCGTATTCTTATCAACTGTCCAAGTGTATAGAATGAAATTAAATGTCATTGATAGACAAAACTCGTTGTGTTATTTCCTTTCCGTTCTTCTTGATAGAAGCAAAAATGCGACCGTCAATTGACCAAACTGCTAAGACAGCAGTCTTCTGACGTAGTTGATTCATTAGTATTTGCCTTTTGTATGTTAGATCTTCATGAATAAATTTTCCAGATCCTTTTAACCTCCTTCTGGATTTAATAATATCATTGCGTTTCCGATAAGAACAAAATTTTACAATGATTGGTCTTGGCTTGGTGGAGTTATCGAACTTTCGTCCAACTCTATGTGAGCGTTCGATGTCATCCAACGTCAAGTCAACGCCTATGTCGTTAGCCAGTTTTAAAATTATGTCGTCCGCCTTCTCATTACTTGCTTCTTTAATTCCAAAGAAACGAAGGCAATTGCGCCTGCTGTACTGTTCAAGATCGTCTAACGCAAGATCAATTTCGTCCATTTTATTATTAATGTCGTCGGGAACAAATTCTAAGTTATTTGCAGTGCTCGACTCTTTGTTAGACTCCAGATCTACGATTCTGGTCTCTAAAAATTCCATTTTTTAATTATAGAGTCAATTTGAGGGTTTACTTGCCTTGCAATGATATCCTCTAGAAACTTTTCAACAGCAGGGCTCTTAAGAGCGTCGCTGATGTAGCTACTGAGGAGATTCTTAAAATCCTCACTGCTTAGTAATTCGTTTACAACTAACTTCGCCACCTGGATTGACTGACGCGTAGCCGCTGGTGTGTTGTCGGCTTCTTTCGACATTTCTGACGTAATAACGTGGACGAAAATAAAATAGGCTTATGATATTTCAGTTAATGTTGAACTCAACACAGTACTGCAGTTACTTCGATTGCTTCACTAGGATGTTAGTATTTAAGACAGGAATAACTCGGTGCGGTATAGTTACATCAGTCGAGAGATAGCATTCATACCGGATGACTGGGTCGAAAATACCCAAGATTCAGCAAATATTGCCCAAAATTACCCAAGCTTCCTGAAAATGCATTAAATTTGAAAAAAAAAAGTTTTTTTCGCATGTATAGTTTCCCTTTTATTTCAATTTATAAACCATTTTTTGTTGTAATTGTTTGTGTTAATTATTAAAATTATTATTCATTAGGTGATAATACAGATAGAAAAATCCGCCCTCAGTCGGCCAGTGTTGTCAGCAGATCAAGTTTTATTATGTAATGCATTAATTAGGTAAGATCAATGGCAACAAATCACAAATAAACAATTCTGAACCCATGTTTATAGCAATTAACAGTCAATTAACAATCTTATGTGCACTTAGTTGAGTTTTGCTTACTTGAATGGACTGACATATACTTTGTTACTTCTTAATTCTTCCTCTATGACAAAAATATTTAATTTTCTTATTAAAAATAAAATATCCAAGGATTTGAACGGAATACCCAAGAACCAAAGACTAAGTCAAAATACCCAAGATCTTGGGTAAATACCCAAGCAGTGGTCACACTGGCTGGTATAGCGGAGGGGTGGCTGCGCTATCCGCTGCGCGGTGCTCCATTTGTAACTAACCAGCTGCTGCCATAGAGATATAATAGCCCTATGCTTTGTTATCATTGGCTGCTGCTCAGGCTAGGCCCCGAAAGTCCCCTCAGTGAGTTGTGAGACGTTGGTGGCGCTGTTTCAAAATAATCCCGATAAAATGGTTTATAAAGTGTAGCTTTATCACCTGTTATCACCTGTTCCACCATGAAGATATCCTTATACGGTCTCGCGGTCTGTGGGACTATAATGTACTAAGAATTAGCTAAATATAATTAAAACTCTTTTACTTATTATTTAGTAAATACTTACGAACAGCAAATTAATCTCATGAGACTGTTATTTAAAAAAAAAAACAAAAAACAAAAAACTGATAATACGGTGCATCTCATACATAAGCTAGTAGTACATTAGTGAATCCTCAGGCCAGATTCAGCAAGTTGAAATCGCAATCCACCAGGCAGTATTTTATTCCAATTTTGACGTATTCACTTAGTATTTTAAAAAATATTGAATAGTAAGTTGTAGGGAAAATTTCCCGCCGATATATAAACACTAACGATACTGGGTAAATGCCTTGATTTCTTGCTTCAAACAGTATCCATTCGTAGAAGTCATATGAACATAAGTAAATTGTATCTTGTGTATTTATAAAATGTGTTTTATTTAATTGGATTTTATTTTTGTATTTCTCAATATCTGGTAACTCGAGTAGATAGCAATAGACCCTGTTCTCCATATATTGTATTTTATTTTATATCGGTTTTTTTAATTATAAAATTTAGATATCAAGCACTGTATTCAAGCATCTGGGTTGTTCAAATTAAAGTGGCCATAATTTACAAACGATAGAGATATTCATAAATAAAATAGAACCCCTATTAAGTGGACACCTTCTGAATAGGGTAATTCTATTAACGGAACCTCTGTGAAATTGTCCCCTATATAGGGGTTTATGACATGTTTTCATATAACGATGACATACATTCTTTACAATTTTATTTTTATTGATATAATTAGTTAATTAACTAATTTATAGCAATATGCAAATACAATTCATTTATAATATGAAATCAGCAGAAATAATTAAAACAACAATAATGTTCCCAATATTGTTTCATGATACAATGATCAAATATTTTTTTTTTTATTGAGCTTTCTATTGGATGGCTGTAGCATGGATAGAGTATTGACTTTGCAAGTTATGGTATGGATTAAAATCCTATTTGAAAGTAGACCCGAAAAACGAAGAAAAAATCTAGTTCATTGCTCAAAATGTGTCAAAGGTTAATGATTTTTTTCTTATTTTGAGACTGCTCTAATTGTTGTGATACAATGAAAAAACAATAAGTGTCCACTTAATATGGGTTACTGACCATTTTGGCACACTCAGAAAGTGTCCCCCTCCTTTAAATGGGGTGACCCCTTAATATGGTTTATGGTTTATGGTTTTATATTTATATAGCGCCTTCCACGATCGAAACCGTCTCAAGGCGCTTGAAAAATATATGTGAAAAAGTATGGAAATAAATTTGACCGGAAATAACCTAAACTAACCAAACAGAATAACCGACAAAACAGATAAAAAATAGAATCACACATCATCACACCGTTTCACTGACCGACCAAGGCCGATCAGCTATTGATTTCGGTTTGGCCGTAGTGTTAAATGATATATGGCCCCTCGTTTCACGGAAAAGTGTCCCCTAAATAGGGGTGTCCCCTGAATAGGGGTGTCCCAAAGGAGAGCACTACTGTACTGGTTTACTGTAAATACAACAACATTGTCTAAATTTTAGACACAAGTCAGCGGCCGTCACTACCGTATTGAGGGCGCTTGCTAATCGTAGTGAAAGGACAATTATTACAAGTAATAATTACTTCAATTCTCCTCAAAACTTGCGCAGCATCTGCACGAGATTGTATTAAAGAATAGATGAAGAACATAGATAAAGAAAATAAAGTGCACTGTTAATCATCTTATTGAAAATTCCAAAATGCTACCAAAATTGAATTATTTATTACATTAAGATGATTATTATTGAAAGCTTTAAAATAGGCATGCCTATTTTATTTTTGTTTTTGTTGCATCTGCTAGTTTATGTAAGTCTGAGACAAATGCCTCGGTGTATACATACATTATTTTTTCTCTATTTCAATCTAATTTGCTTTGTATATGTTTCGATATGAAAATTCTCCGAAATAAAGAGAAATTGATGTGTGTAATTAGTGGCATTAATGTAAGAAAGTTGCTTGCTCTCTTCAAACTCAAGAGCCTCTTCAGTGCTAAGCAGTGAACAAGATAAAGTATGCTATGCGCGTATAATTTATGCTTTGACGTTCTTCAGCTAGGTCCATCAACTTATTTCCCTCTTCCATCATCAATACTTTGTTTTTGTTTTTGTTTTTGTTTTTATTCTGGCACCCATGCTCGATCACTTGACTTGTACGTACAGCATAAAAAATGTTCATTAAATTGATAATCATGTTATTGTTGTGTTGTTCGTATGGTACGGTAATCATGAGGCTGAAATCAGGAAACAGGCCACAGAAAGTTGCACGGAATCAAGCGCTTTATTTCTACTTTCAAAACTAAACTACACTAATAGCAAAGTATTGTTTGAAGGTTTGCATGGCGAAGTAATAACATATATGTTTCTGCTTCAGCATAACTAATTGCCATCGTCACCCCACACTTCAACTTCGCAAAGCGATAAATACTCGTGAGAGAGTGAGACACTGACGTATCGACCAATAATTTCGGGAGTGCATTGTCGACTGATAACATTCGAGTTGTTGATATCCGCAATGGTGACTACCCCTCCACATTGTGGATTTGTCAGCCAACCGTAGGTGTTATTGCCAACACGAATGTTGGCGCCATTTAATCGTTCCTTGCAACAATCTAAAAACAAATAATTATTTATAATTATATAAGTATAAATGTATTATTCAGTCAAATTATTTATATTTCATTATTTAACATATAAAGTTATTTATATATAAATAATTATTTCAAACCAAATAATCATTAATAAATAATCAACGTTTCAGAAACATTATTTATAAATAAAAAGTATTTCATTATTTATATATAATGGTTTTACATTTACGCCAAAATCATTATATATTATATTATATATATATATATATATAATATATATATACACATAATATAAGCTGCTGACTCGACATGAAGTTTTACGAGCAGCCCTAAAGTACGAGCAGCTCTAAAGTATAAACCATAATGTCGAATGATGAGCAGGAGCACGCTGTGTCAGTAGTAGGCCTAAGTGTATTTAAAATTTTTATTATAGGCCCAGGTCGTATTTACGTTTACAACATAAATTATATGAAATTTCAGCTCATAGTCAACTAAAATGAATAAAAGATGGGAAGTTTTGTAGTTTATCTCATCCTTTAAAACAAGGTATTGAGCTAAGTTAGAAATTTTAGAGGGAGCATGGAAGAAGCGCTCAGAACTTAAAAACAACTAATAAAAGTTACAAAAAGTTACAGTACTCTAAGGGTGGGCTTTCCTATTTTTCGATTTCAGTACTGTACTGGTAGATCTGCATTACTGCTTTATATATTTATATATTTATGTATTTTGTTGAAGATTGTTGTATGTCTCGTTATAAATATTTAATTTACCAGAATTTCTTTTATGACAGATTAGGAATTAGGTAGTGGACGAGGGAAGGAGGACGGTAGAGGTAGGTTAAAATACTTTGGAAAATGAGTTAAAAGTATAAAAATGAGTTTATGGATCTCACTAATCTTTTGATTTTACCGTTCTTTATGGAAGCTAACGTTTTGTAGATTAGGTGTCAGATTGTATTAACTTGATGTGCTGAGTCTTTGTTTTTAGTTTGTTAGTCTGTAGGCAGACTACAGACTACATTTGTTCAATTGATTTTTTTCTCTCTTCTTTTGTTATATTGTTGATTATAAAGATGAACCGTTCACTGTAAACGTGTGCCATCGATCCGAAGGTGTATATCCAAATAAATAAATAAATAAAATACAAATAAACATGAATATGCATGCTAGACTTCTCCCTAGCGAAAGCAGTATTCACTGGTTGTAAAATCTGCAGCGTTGAATATCATTCCTCGAAGGAACCCAGTAGTACTGATTCTGAAGAATATTAACGTTTAGAAATGCTCGACACGGTATTAAGACAATTATGTATAGTTTTAATAATTCTCACGAACATTTCGTTCACATTCAATATGAATAAGAAGCATAGTCATAGGCTTAATAGCAAGCAGATTACCGTATAATATGATCCATTTTACCAAAACTGACGATATTGAATATACTGACTATGACGTACTGTTTATTTTAGACTCACCCTCTGCCAACATAATCAAGGAAACCTTTAAATACCCAATTAAAAATTGAATAGCTCATTAAAACGAAGGATACTGATTGAAGTGTAGATTTCATTGATTCAAATTTTATCAGCCAATGGGCCATGCAAAAAAGAATGCAACAAGCTATACCCCATTAATTTTTCTTTTATTTTAAACATTGTAATTAATAACTGTGTCTGAATTACTCGTAATTATTGTCTCCGAGCATTTCTAAGCGCTTTATATCATTAGAATGTAATTGAAATAAAATATACTAAGAATAAATAAAAAATCAATATGCATGCTGAACCTTTTTTCCATGTATTTTACGTCACAATAAAAAGAAACATGAACTTGAACGTGAGATCGAATCATGTACTACTGAAGATGGACAGTTGATACGACGCATACCACATCATGGATAGACTAATTTTTATATACCACACTCAAATAGCCAGATTCAATACTATATGGTACTGTGCTTTTTATACTTTCAAAGATCATATATAAGTAAACTGTGGCAGGGATAATATAACAAAAGTCCATTAATTTTCACACTGTCTATGACTACCAAGGCCTATTTTAGAGATTTTGACCTACGCCGTAGCTTTCAACCTGGAGCTTGCTCGATACACCACTGAACACCCCTTTCGCCAAGTCAAAGTATGCATATTCATGTTTATGGTTTCGTCACAACTATTGAAATTATATATAGAATTGTCCGAGCATCTAAACGTTTATATCCTTCAGAATCAGTACTAGATTTTACAAGCAGCGAACACTGTTTTTGCGAGGGAGAAGTCAAACATGCATATGTTTATCAGTTTACGTAACTGACCTAAAATACCGGCCTCTATAATTTCTACCTTAACGATATGGAAAAAAATAATGCGAACCGCCATACCCTTCGATTAGGACGTTTTCGATCGCGCGAATGACATGACCCGAGGAGACAGAATTTTTGGTGTGTTTAGAATTGAATTGATTTTCTTTTTTTAGAGTGCCATTTCCGGGCATCTACAGGTGGTAAAAAAAATTGCCACCTCGGCCCCAACTATTGTGGGGCAGAGGTGTTTGTGGACAAGCCAGCAACACCTCTAAACTTGGTAGCTATAACCTGCGCTATGATTTTTGCCGTCATCGATCAATCTAGCTCCTTATTAGACCTACGTAAGAAACATTTCTTATAGATTATGGTGTTTTGTTCACCTACCTTGTCGATTGTATAGCCTAACATATTTGATTTTGAAGTGTTTTCCGAGGTCAACCTTCCACCAGTTGACAGCTTGGTTTTCTGAAATGTCCAAAAATTTAACATTTAACATTTTTTACTTTTCATTATTGTTTAACCAACGTAGTTGCTAACTTTCTGTGCTTTCGTAGATCTTCTTATCCAAAATCATTGATTTTCCTGTCCTTTTTATTATCTCGGACATTTTGAATTTTGAAATTGCATGTTCTGATTGTTGTGGATTTTTCTTTTCAATGAAGTTTTCTCATAATTAATGAATTTTAATTGTCTTTATACTTGTAAATATTTAAAATTTTACATAAGAAAACCGTGTTTTAATGACATTGTATTTTAATGTTTGTCAAAGTCCCCTATTGTTCAGTTTACTGTCTCTTGCCATTTAGCTGGAAGGGTTATCCTCGTTTAATATGATAGAAATAAACAAGAGTACTCAGTAGAGAGCATATCTCCGCCCAAAGCAAAGCCCTTTCTATAAAATAAATCTCCCTAATTTACTTCAACACACACTACCACCCCACATTACTTTGCTCCGCTCCTTAGCTCTTCAAAAACACACAGTAACTCGCCCAAACACTTTCTATTTCTGATATTTATCTGTCGATTAGTTTTTGAAATATCTGGTCTGGGACGTTTTCCTTTGAATGGTTCTCATACCCACACCCTACTCCGGATGGTCACAAAAATTTAAAAATGTCTTCATCGAAACATGACAAACTATTCTGGGTAGTATCATTTAGATCCATTGATTTTTAGGTCTGGGACCTTAGCACTTTAAATGACACTCAAATTCAAACCTGAATTTGGATCGTCACCAACACAATTATTTCTTACTTCTTACTTGGTTCAGATAAGTTAACACGTTTTTGAAATATCTGATGTAGAGTGTTTGCTCTTAAATCCATTAAATTGGTCCTCACATCCACACCCTACTCCGGACCGTCACCAAAATCATTTCCTCATTGGGTCAAACCAAGATTCCCTGTTATTTTCATTTATATCAGTGCAGCCGTTGATGTGATAATTAGAACACACAAAAAAAAAAAAAAAAAAAAAACACAAAAAAAAGAAAATGTGAGACACACAAACATTCACGACTGAAAATATAATATCAACATTAACAATTAGTATTATCCTTTTTGTTATTTAATATACGAACTGTAGAGCTAGTACAGTGAGCCTCCATGGATCAAAGGCTTACCCATGTCGATTCAAGTGTGAGAACTTACCTGTGTGTGTGCAGGACCCATCGTTCATATTGCCTGATTTTCTACCGTCAACTGCTTTTTCTGCTACTTTATTACCATAAACAGAACTCTGTGTGGCATACGTCCCTCCACTAAGGTTCACTGTAGACAAAGCAATATCAGTTTTTTTTTAATTGAATCGAATTATAACCATGAATTACCTCAATCATTTTTTTTTTCATTTCAACCACTTTATTAAAAAAAGGATAAAATATCATACACATACAAAACCTAGGTCACATGCTTGCTCTGAAAAACAGGGGGAAAGGCAAGTTAACAGAAACATTTTGAAAAAAAAGAAAGAAAGTATTATTTTAAACATAAAAATCAACAGTTATTATTGCAATTACCCTTCAGTGGACAACATGCAGAAGCTTTATTTTAATCATTCAGGTGTCATATATCGCACGTTTTGCACTTTTTTAATAGTAAGAAGGGGTGGTGGGGACCAATTTGTAATTTTCATTGCCATCAAAAACAGCTAATGGCTGTTCTACAAAGATTCTGCATTATGTCTCCCAACGCTCTTTTTTAAAATGTTTTTTTTTTTTTTTTTATCACATAACATATCTAGACTTCCTTAATATCTCTATCTATTGAGTGATTAAGGGTGCTAACCTCAATAGTAACGTATTTTACATATATAGATTAAAATTCCTTTTTCCTTCCTAAACTTGGGATTGCCTAAGCTTTGTTTAGAATTGCGTGAGACAGTTAATTCCACTATAGCCATTTATTATAGTATAATCTATTGATCGATCAATTTATCAATTAATTTATCGACCATTAAATCAAGCAAGCAGTCAGTCGTTTGGTCGGACAGTCGATCAACCAATCAACAAGCCAGCAAGACCAGTAATCCACTAAAATACAAAACAATTGTAAAGACGATATTTACATTATATTATTTACATTCATTGTTCCGCAAATTAGGGAGTGCGTCCCAAACATGGGACAAACTAACGGAAGGACACTAACATTTTTTTTCAGAATGAATGCTAATAGATATATTGAATAATAGTCTTTGATTAAACAAAGAGCACTTCGTCAACAAATTTCAAAACTAATACATACCTACAAAAAAATATTTACGTAAATTCTAAAAACAAATAACTCTGCATTATTTCACTGTCATTACGATTACTTTTGCTCGTATTGTTAAGAAATTGCAGATTATGCAATATAATATGGTCCGTTTTACTAATGATGTGGAACCACGAAGTCATGATGTTTTATTTATTGATCAATAACGGAAATAAACCATTTTATTGGGTTATTCCGAGCTTTAAATATTTTACTAAATTAACTACTTTTTAATTTTTATTATCATTGTATATTGTTGTTTTATGCATTGTATTGAATTATGCTCTATGGTATGGTGTTTATGTCGATTGAACTTGTTACGAGCATGCACAGTTAGAACCGTGAAATGGCTTATTGAATTGCCTCGTGCAAATAATGCTTTTCATTCATTGTTCTATTCTTTTTAACTTTTATAATGCTACCACTCCAAAGACGATATAAAAAAAATACCACAAAAAACTTTTCTTCTTGATACGGGCGATAAGACAAGTCAGATTATTAAAAAAATGTGTTAGATGTTAATAGCATAAGTCTCGTTATTTAATTTCAAATTTGATCAATTAAACCTCCAGAAGGAAAGCACAGAAGGATACAAAAGTACAAATCATGATAATACTTAAAATAGCAAAGCAAAAGCGGTACAAAATGCTCTCCCTTGACAAACAACAGTAGGCCAACAACGAATTGCATGAACAGTTAGACGTTTGATAAATGTTTCTTAATATATATATATATTTTATAACTTAATACGTTTAAGGCTATTATTTGATTTTTTAAAAAAAATACTTCAATAAATAAAATTTCCTGAACACAGCAATCCCCCTTTAAAGTCACCCCATTTTGTAAGTATGTTTGAGAATTTCTTATCAAATATAATAATAATAATAATAATAATAATAATAATAATAATAACAATAATAATATGAAATACTAGTGAATAAAATATACTAGTGAAAATAATAATAATAATAAATACAGGTACAGGGACGTCAGCATTTTTAAATGACTCTAAATCCACACCCATATATCGTAACCAAATTTTATTAACGTTTTATTGTAATTTTAATTTCATTCGGATCAGTTGAGCAATTTTGAGATATCTGGCCTGGGACGTTTCTCTTTAAATTGTCCTCAATTAGAATAATGAAAAACAATGATCTTTAATTGGAGGGGTCTTTAAATAGAGGGATATCTGTATAATTTAAGTAGTTAATGTTTTTCATCTCTTTTTCCAACGATGTGGTAAAAAAATCTCTTGTTTTAACACATGAAAGACAAATATTGTTGCTATAGCTACTACCTAATTTGTCCGTTGTATCCATTATTATTATAATTATATCTTTATTTTTAAGAAAAAAGCAAAAGCAAAAGACCAACACGTAATAACCTGTATACACCAGAAACGCGGCTCCACTACCACAGTGCAACCATTTACTGGCAATAAGAATTTTCCCCACACCCACAGGAGAGAAACATAAGACCGACCAAGCACAGGAAGACGGCCGATCAAGAAGATTAAAAATGCGAAAAAGAGAAAATATCTTTGATACTCCCCGTAACTGCATGATAATCCAACATTTGATTTGGGATAAAATATAAACAAAAATATCTGCACTAACGAAAACCTGTAAACAATTTTTGTTATAATTAATTAATCGCAGCAAGGAATTCGGCAAATTTCAGTTACACGTGGATTCGTAATTTTAATGTGAAAAAAAAAATAATAGAAAAACGAGTGCAATTAGCATTTGCTAATGATTACGACATTTAATCATTTCCATTATAGAGAATTAAATCTGATATAGATTTTATTTTTATTTATCTTTTTTTGTGTGCGTCTAAATATATTCCTGTCAATGTTACAGGATTTTAAATAAATTAATAATCTTAATAACTAATCATAACAAATATAATTAGAAAGAAACAATAATGAATATCAGTAACAAAAACAATGTAATAACCACAAAAAAAGACTATTATTATTATTATTATTATTATTATTATTATTATTATTATTATTATTATTGCTATTATTATTATTATTGGCTAAAGAAAGTCAGCAACATACTATATTTGCAGCCATTGATATGGAAGTATCTATCAATAAGACAACAGATTTCTGACAGGAAGATTAAAGTAAAACATAGAGTACTATAGTGTTACGTCACGATACCACGTGATACTACTCGGTTGCTATCGTTGGAAAATGCGTTCAACCCGACGCCATTTTCGCCACTAACAAACCATTTATCCCAATTTCTAACTTAATTATTAAGATGTTGTATCTTACTTTTTGTTTGTAAATTTTAATTGATGATTAAGTGTGTGTTCGATAACTAATATAATGCGAGCTTTTGTGTTTTAGTACATTTTGATGGTAAAATATTAGATTTTAAAATGCCTATTCCAGAAAGCCTATGCAGTCATTCAGGCGTAATGAACGGTAACCTACGTCTGTTGACAACAGAGAGCGCCACCTGGCGTCGTGAAAACACGACTGTGATACTCTATAGATATTAAAAATGTCGATTAAGACCTTTGTAGAGCAAGCAACATATTATGATGAATTACGATTGCATACTGTAATTGAAGATACGTAAGATACGTATAGAGTAAATTCAATATCATTGATACATTGAATAAGCATCAGTTCTAAGAGAAACATATGATCAAAATCCATCAGGGCATTATTTTTAAATAACAGTAATACTGGGTGCCTCGATATAGAAATATATATTTTAAATACTATAATATATTTTTCTTTTAACAAATTCAAAAAAAAAAAACAAAAAAAAAACCTACCAATACGTCCAGTAGCAGTCGGGATAGTTAGGTAAACCAGAGCACACACTAAACACAGAAGGTAGTACATCTTGGGAAAATCAGTAAATGACGATATTTAGATGTGGAACCTGCTCGTAGAATGCAAAATTTATTGCGTTTTATCTGCTTTTGTTTGTTATACTGCACATGCGCAGCTATATATTTCGCTACTTTCCTACCTTGTGGGTATTGATAAATACAACGGGTTCAGCCGGGGGCGTGGATTTTTTGGTGACGTCATGTATAATTATCCCGTCTACCTAAAAACATCACAATACACCGTGTGACCAATGTGACGTTGCGAGTAGATGATGTAATACTTGTTGGTAAAAATGAGAGACCTCACTATGCTATCACAGGCAGTAAGTGATTTTTTCCGAGAAATGGAAGTTATCTTTTAACCTTGACAAATCCATTGTTCTTATAACAGGACAACGAATAAACCAATATAGGAAAGAAAGAAAAGTAAAGAATGGTATGAAAGAGCAAAATCAAAGTCATCTCTTAGAAACTATAAACTGCAAAGGAGAACCAAAGTTTGAACCTTATCTACTTGATAAAACACATTTTAAAGGAATTATATTGATAAGACACATCACCCATGTATATATATATCTGTCTCTTATACGCACCTATATTTACGTAAATT